ACCTATCCTCTCCTCTATCCCTCTTCTATCCGCCTCCCACTCTCTCCCTATTTATTTCAAAACCCCCTTCCCCTCCCCCTTTTCTGATGAAGGGTCTAGGCCCGAAACGTCAGCCTCTCTGCTCCTATGATGCTGCTTGGCCTGCTGTGTTCATCCAGCCCTGCACCTTGTTGTCTCGGATTCTCCAGCATCTGCAGTTCCTACTATCTCTGATTCAATCTACTAATCTGTACATTGTTCGTTATTGTCGATCATTACGTGAACAAAACTCATTCAATTTTGTTCTGCTGTCTGTCGCAATGTATTTGGAGATTTCAGATATTCGATGGGGCTTGTGGAGGAGTTTCTGTTGTCATTGTCCCAATTCCATTGTCAAGTTATACGTACATAACACACAACATAAGTACATTGAGATAACAAGGTGTAGAGCTGGATGAAGACAGCAGGCCAAGCAGCATCAGAGGAGCAGGAAAGCTGACGTTTCGGGTCTGGACCCTTCTTCAGAAATTCCTGCTCCTCTGATACTGCTTGGCCTGCTGTGTTCATCCAGCTCTACACCTTGTTATCTCAGATTCTCCAGCATCGGCAGTTCCTACTATCTCACATAAATACATTGACAGTCATAGAGTCATAAAGCATGGAAACAGACCCTTTGGTCAATGGGCAAGGCTGAGAGTAATTCACCAGTATATAAAGGCAGACCTAAAAGCATGGACAATGTACCACATGTGAAGATGTTGGCTATATTAACACTACACTGCTACACTGGGAGAGAACTGGTGTAATGCAAATCTTTGCAGTTCAGAATTATATCGCGTACTTACAATTCTCAAAATAAAACTTATGAAAATCCATTCCCTCCACAAGGTTCCCAAGGGCTTCAGGCTCAAATGAGGTCAGACCTGGGTCACAGATTTTCCTGAAAGAAAAAAACCCATCTATTCTCAGAAACATTACAACGAGGTATTATTTATTCAATGCACAGTAAATAATATTTAATTGACAAAAAATCTCCATAAATACACTGCCTTAAGATGAATCTAGATGTAATGTTGGAACTCCTTACCACAGAGAGCTGGGGGGGGGGGGGGGGGGGGGGGGGGGGGGTGGAAGAGCCCTTGTGTATACTTAAGGCTGAGAAAGATAGATTCTTGAACAGCCGGGGAATCAAGGGTTATGGGGAAAATACAGGAAAATGGACTTGAGGAATGTTCAGACCAGCCATGATCCTATTGCAAGGCAGAGCAGGCTCAAGGTGCCGAATGGCCTACTCCTGTTCCTATTTCTTATGCTTTGATGGTCAGTTAGGCCACAGCTCGACTACTGTTCGGCTCACACACTTTCAGAAGGATGTGATTGCACTAGGGAGGGTGCAGAAGAGATTCTGCAGATTGAAGACCTGCAAAATGGGTGGCCTGAGGCCTCCAATGCAACACTTAGTGAAGTAAGGGGCAGTCAGATTTAGGGCTACCCTACAGAAAGCAAAAGAAATTAGGAGTGAAATGATGGCAATGGGCAAAAGAGACCCTAAGACATTGATTTTCACAGCGTCATCTAAGCAGACCTGGGTCACAGATTTTCTACAGTGTGGAAGCAGGCCATTCAGCCCATTGAGTCCACACTTGGGAAGGTTTTGAAGGGATGTTGGCCAACAAGTAGGTGAAGGATCAAATTGCTACTCTTCTCCTGCCTGTGATATCCTCTTGTCTGACAGAGGTGTCTGCGGGAACCTTAAAAAACAGGTGAGTACACTTTAAAAAGCTACAATTTAAAGGGGCACATTTAACACTGTCATCCCGAACATACACTGGGTCAAGAATGGAACTAGTAGTTCTGCTTCATTTCTCATTTTCTGTTGTTTGGAGAACAGGCTGCTTCTCTTTTCCAAACTGCCACAGCAGCTGCTGGGAGGAGAATTATTACCTGATCAGAGAGTGGTATCTGCTCTCTGGGAACAATGGCAGTGCCAGTTTCTCCTCTTAACCCCAGCATTTCACTTTGAACAAATCTCCAAGTTAAAATATTTCCTTTTGTAGACAGGGAAGAGCGCAACAAAGTCTGAGGGGGGTCAAGGTGTAATCTTGCCAAGTGCCATTGTTAAATGACACAAGAGTCTCAGATACTTTCTATTAATGGACAACTGATTGTGGAAGCCATATTGTACAACTGGAATGTGCAGAGGGTCTCAGGCTCCTACAGCTGGGGCTGAGGCAGGTGGCACGCTTACCTGAGTCAGTGAGCCACTTCAGAGATTCGAACACAGAATCCAGGCCGACATTCCCAGCCCTACACAGAGGGAGTGTGGCACTGTCGGAGCGCGGCACTGTTGGAGTGCTGCAGTGTTGGAGCGCAGCACCGTCGGAGCGCCGCACTGAGGGAGCGTGGCACTGTCAGAGCGCAGCACCGTCGGAGCGCGGTACTGAGGGAGCACGGCACTGTTGGAGCGCGGCACCGTCGGAGCACAGCACTGAGGGACCGCGGCACTGAGGGAGCGCGGCACTGTCGGAGCGCTGCAGTGTTGCTGTCGGAGTATTGCAGTGTTGGAGTGCAGCACTGTGGGAGCGCCGCACTGAGGGAGCGTGGCACTGTCAGACTGCAGCACTGTGGGAGCGCGATACTGAGGGAGCACGGCACTGTCAGAGCGCAGCACTGTGGGAGCGCCGCACTGAGGGAGCGTGGCACTGTCAGAGCACAGCACCGTCGGAGCGCGGTACTGAGGGAGCACGCCACTGTCGGAGCGCGGCACTGTGGGAGCGCCGCACTGTCAGTGTGCCGCACTCTTGGGGGTGTCACATGAGGCTACAGACTGCCACTGCCCTCTGGGTGATTGTTAAAATGTTCCTTACAGGTAGATTAGCGAAATTATCCCAGACACAAGAAGGATCATTCTCTGACTGGCAGGGATAGGGATGCGGTTTGTTTGTTGAAGAAGGGTTTCGGTGTCTACAACCAGAAGTGATAGTTTTAGAATAACGAATTAACCAATTAGGACTTAAATGAGACTATATCACTCCTGTCGAAGGGTTAGTATCTTTGGCATTCTGTAATCCAGATGGCTGCACAGGTGAATCATTGAGGATGTTCAAGTCAGAGAATGATAAATATCTAGATATTGAAACGATAGATATCTGGGTATTGAAAATCTCAAGAATCATGGGGATAGTGCAGGTAAGTGGCCATGAGGTTGATTAGCCATGATGTAGTTGAATAGCAGACCAGACTTGAAGAGCTGAATATTCTATTCCTGCTCCTAAGTGCCAATATTGTAACCAATATGTCTGCTTCAAACAACTTAAAGAGAAAAAGCGATGTCCATCTTCACATTTCTGTTCACTAAGTGTTGTGTTCCCCACGTTATATCAGCGGCGAACGCAAGAAAAGTAATTCGTAGTCTACAAAATGCTTTGCAACGTTCTGGAGAGATCCAAGGTGCTACAGAAATGTAAGTCAATCTTGGCAAATCTACAGCTGCTTGCCAGTGTCATATCTATAGGATTTTTTTTTCCCTGTCTAGGATAGCATTGCTGAAGAATAGATTTACATTGTGTTCATTAGTCTGTAAGACTTAGTCACTCCATTAGCTTCAGGGAATTGAGATTTATTTTATCTGAATACATCTTCATTATCTTCTCCTTCAGCTAACATGCTCATGTTCCTTCCACTTTTCTTAATAGCTATGCATTAACTTGAAAGGCCACCTCACCTCTTCCTCATCATCAGGTGATGCAGTCCTTCAAAAATTGATTTAAATCAGGATTTCAATGTTAATGTTGAGCTTCAGCTCCATGGCATTTTCATGGAAATTATGCTTCAGCTTCCAGACTTCACCTTAGAGTGTTAGTATTGTAATGAAATGAAGCAACTGGAAGAATGATCTTACAGGCTTCTCACAAATAATGGAGCATAAATATTTACAACTATCCAAATTTGAAAGAGCAGAACCACATATTAACCTGGTTATCCAGCTGTAAAAGTCTTGTGCTTAGCACACATCACACTTTGAGCTGTTAAAAAATTAAGTACCTGTTGTTTGTTTTTCTGATAGTTGGGCCACAGTGGAAGTTAATGTTATACACAATTTGTTTTCTATCTGCCTTTCACTTACTTTATTTTCCTTTGGGGGTTAAATTTATAGGTTTTCACAAATATAGGAACAAAGGAACAAAAGTAGGCCATTCAGCCCCTCGAGCCTGTTCCACCATTCAATCAGATCATGGCTGATCTGTGGACTAACTCCATGTACCTGTCTTTGCCCTATATCCCTTAATAGCTTCGCTTAATATAAATTTATCTATCTCAGGTTTAAAAGTAACAATTGAACTAGCATCAACTGCTGTCTATGGACAAGAATTCCAAACATCCATGGCCGTTTGTGTGTAGAAGTACTTTCTAACATCTTTCCTGAACGGCCCTAATTGTCAGACTATGCCCCTTAGTTCTAGAAACCCCAACCAGTGGAAATAGTTTATCTACCCTATCTTCTCCTGTTAATATCATGGAATCCCTACAGTGTGGAAGCAGGCCATTCGGCCCATTGAGTCCACACCATCCGTCCAAAGAGCATCCCACCCAGATCCACCCCCTCTATCCCTATCGTTGTAACCCTGCATTTCCAAAGGCTAACCCACCTAGCTGTACATCCCTGAATAATTTGCGACAATTTAGCGTGACCAATCCATTGAACCTGCACATCTTTGGACTGTGGGAGGAATCCTACGCAGACACGGGGAGAACGTGCAAACTCCACACAGACAGTCACCCGAGGGTGGAAGCAAACCCAGGTCATGGAGCTGTAAGGCAACAGCACTAATCACTGAGCCATCGGGTTGCCCCTATCTTGAAGACTTTGATCAGATCATTCTTGACCTTTTGAATTCCAGAAAAAAATAGATTTAATTTGTATAATCTGTCCGCATCACTTAACCTCTGAAGTCCAGGTATTATTCTTGTAAACTTAATATGTATTATCTACAAGGCCAATATCTCCTTTCCAAGGTGTGGTACCCAGCATGCACTGCTCTGAGCCGAGGCTGTTCGTCAGAATGCCCAATTAGCAAGAGGCAGCTTCTGTAGGTAAGAGAGTAGGGACAGGGTAGAATGTGCCTAAATTAAATCCAACCCAATCCTGTCACGTGCACACACTTTCCAGGAGGGGTCACTGCATGGTCACTGTTTGTCCTGGACAGTATTTGTTTGGACCGGGTTGGGTAGCTCAGTTGGCTGAATGACTGTTTTGTGATACAGAATGACGACTACAGTACAGGTTCAATTCCTGCACCAGCTGAGGGGTTTTTAAAAAAACTCTTCTGTTCATTCACAGGATGTGGGCATCACTGGCTAGACAGCATTTATTGCCCATCCTTAAATGCTCAGATGGTAGTTAAGAGTTAACCACATTGCTGTGGGTCTGGAGTCACATGTAGGCCAGGGCACATAAGGACGACTGCTTCGTTCCCTAAAGGACGTGGAGTCAGAGTCATACAGCACGGAAACAGACCCTTCGGTCCAACTCATCCGCGCTAACCAGAATTCTCAATCTGACCTAGTCCTATTTGCCAGCATTTGGCCCAAATCCCTCTAAACCCTTCCTATTCAGGTACCCATCCGGATGTCTTTTAAATGTTGTAATTGTACCAGCCTCCACCACTTCCTCTGGAAACTCATTCCATTCATGCACCACCCTCTGTGGAAAAAGTTGTCCCTCAGGTCCTTTTTAAATTATTCCCCCCTCACCTTAAACCTACGCCCTCTAGTTTTGGACTCCCCCACCCTGGGGAAAAGACCTTGGCTGTTCACCCTATCCATATACTTCACGATTTTATAAACCTCTATAGGTTCACACCTCAATCTCCGATGCTCCAGGGGAAAAAACCCCGCCTATTCAGACTCTCCCTATAACTCAACACTCCTGGCAACATC